AAGCATCAGTCAGCACGGTCGAGGGTCAGAGATGATGGAAGTTGTAGCCTAGGAACATCTGGAGGGCTGTAGGTTTTCCCTCCCTAAATCAGAGTCCAATCCTTTCTTGGTGAGCCCTTCTGTGCTTTTCAAAGGGACAGGTGGGGAATAATATACCTGCATACTTTTCATAACATCCTGCAGATGCCATCCTATCAGGAAGTCCATTCCACATAATGTTGGACTCAGCACCTACCCTCTGGAACCCTAACCCATTGCATATTACATGAGCGCCTTCTCTGTTACAGTTTTTCTGGCACCTAATAAAGATGTTCCCCTTACAACAGACCTGTAAAACACTATCCCAGTTAGTATCTACCTTGGATGTGAATTGATTTAATGTACCGTATATACTCGAGTATAAGCCGACCCGAATATAAGCCGAGGCACCTAATTTTACCACAAAAAACTGGGAAAACTTATTGACTCGAGTATAAGCTGGTTCACAACACCACAAACCTGGTGGCAGCGGTGGCGGAGGAAGAACAAGCAGCCCAAAAGGACTGCTTTTGGGCTGCTCATTCCTCCTCCGCTGCCGCCGACAGCAGCAAAGGCGGAGGAGGAGGAGGAGGAGGAAGGAGCAGCCTGAAAGGACCCTCACTCGAATATAAGCCGAGGGGGGCTTTTTCAGCATTAAAAATGTGCTGAAAAAGTCAGCTTATACTCAAGTATATACGGTATATGCTGTTGTTCTAAACCACATTTATATTTATAATTGTTTTTAAATAGTTGCTTACATGCAACTCTTTTATATCTTTCTATACTTCAGCTGCTGCAGAATTCGGTGGCAGGTTGCTCACGGGGAAGAGACAGTTTGAGCATATTACACTGATCCTGTCCAACTGCACTGGCTGCCAGTTAGTTTTGGGGCCCAATTCAAAGTGCTGGTTTTGACCTATAACATCTTAAATGGCTCAAGGACTGCGTCTCTCCATATGAACCTACCCAGACCCTGCAATCATCATCTCAGGCCCTTCTCCATGTGCCTCTTCGAAGAGATGTCCGGAGAGTGGCAATACAAGAACGGGCCTTTCCTGCAGTGGCTCCCCATTTGGGGAATGCTCTTCCCAGGAAGGTTCAGTTGGCACCTTCATTATACACCTTTAGGTGCCAGGTGAAAGCATTCCTCTTCAACCAAGCCTTTGGCTGATATACATCCTATACCCTTTTAAATGTGTGTGGGGGAGGAAGGAGGGAACGGGTTTATTGGTTCATGTTTTTGTTGCCTTTGTTCTTGTTTTTATTATGCATTTTGTGTTTTTATATTGTATTTTTATGTTGTGAACCATCCTGAGTTCTATGGATGAAGCGTGGCATTCTAATTAAACAAATACACAAATTTAAGAAATAATTTGAGTGAGGGGGTATCAGTAGAGTGGGTTGGGCAGGAAAGTTTGGGGGGAGTCAAGGATGGAACTGTGTAGATTACAAAAGATTGTACTATAGAAATGAATCTTGACAAAGGGTTTGAGGGAGAAAACAAGTAAGTTTTTCTACATAACGCTAGAACTTGTGGGCGTCAAATGAAATGGAATGCTGGGAGTTTTTGAACAGATGAAAGTACAGTCATACCTCTTGTTACGTTTGCTTCATGATAGGTTTTTTCAGGTTGCGTCCCGCGGCGACCCAGAAGTACCGGAAAGGGTTACTTCTGGGTTTCACCACTCGCGCATGCAAAGACACGCAAAATGACGTCACACGCATGCGCAGAAGCAGCGAATTGCGACATGCGCAGACACGGGTTGCGTTCCTTTCAGGTTGCGAACGGGGCTCTGGAACAGATCCCGTTCGCAACCAGAGGTACCACTGTACTTCTTAACACAGTGAAAAATTAAACTATGGGAGTTGCTCTCACAAGATTTAGTGGCATGGGTGGCTTTAAAAGGGAATTGGACAAATGCGTAAAGGATAAGGCTATCTGTGGCTCGTAGGTGCTGGGTTCCTGGGTCCCCGAGCACCCACAAATTTCCCCATGAAGAGGCTGGGCACCCACAAAATCCAGCACCACAGCCGTGCATGCTGCATAGCACCCACAACCCCGGGCATCCACAGCCGCAGGGCCACGCTGGCACTCCTGCTGTGGCTACTAGCCACGATGGCTATGTTTTCCTACCACTGGAGGCAGTACACTCTGAATATCAGCTGCTCAGAATCACAGGTGGTGAGGATGCTATTGCATTCAGGTCCGGCTTGCAGGCTTCCCATATGCATCTGGTTGGCCACTGTGAGAACAAGATCCTGGACTAGACTGGTCTTTTCTCTGACCCAATAATGCTCTTCTTATGTTCTTACATATATGTACATGGTTTGACTTTTATCCCACCTGATCCAGTGGTGGCATTGAAAGTGAGATGTAGACTGTCCTACCTCAGCTCAGGTGGGAGTTATCATTTCTGAAAACTCCCTCCAATCTATTATTTTAAAGCCTGCAAATTTTAAACAAAGCACACAGGGAGAAAGATTGTAGACCAGCTCCTTTGCTGGTTTTCTGTTTCCAAGAGAGTATGGTAATTTGCTTCTCACCTGTGATCTGAAGTGGTGCAGCTCATTCTGCCACCTAATTCTACAGTTACCCCCCAAAGGGGCTGTGCAGAGGGTCCACAAATACACCACTGTTCCTAACCAATCTTTATCCTTATTTTCTCCTCTGAGCAGCTAATTACTCCTCCTCTCCTATTCTTTTCATTAGCATTGGTTCCACAGTGATTTATGTTTCTTCAGGGATAAAAATCCGTGAAATAATGCAATTGAAAAGAGAAGCCATTTTGTCAGGATTATATCTTGGCAGAGTAGATTAAAATGCTGCCATATGGCCTTGGTTTGTCTGATTATACTTTCAGGTCACAATGTATTGCTAATTAAATGGCGGTGACATTTCAATAGAAAGGCGAGGCTACCTGTATGTGCAATAAAATGAGAGGAGAAAGAAAAACAAGTGATAGCATTAACAAAAGCTGGAGATCCAGGCTTCCTTATCCTTGTGATGTGTTTGGTTTAGAAGGCAACAATCCAGAATTCATTCACACATGCAGATCCAGACTCTCCAAGTGTCCCTATTTTCCAGGGACACCCCTGATTTAGAAGAACCATCCCAGTTTCTTATTTGATCCTGGAATGTCCCTATTTTCATTGGAGAAATGTTGGAAGGTATGGAGTTATCCGACTCATGAGCCGTCTGAAGGCAATACTGCATAGGGAAGTTTTGTGTGGTTTTTTAAAAAATGTTTAATGTTTCATTATGTATTTATATATGTTGGAAGCTGACCAGAGTGGCTTGGGCAACCCAGTAAGATGTGGGTGGTATAAATAGTAAAATTATTATTATGGAACGGGATGTTCCTATTTTCTATGGAGAAATGTTGGAGGGTATTCAGCTCAACAGAGGCACTATTTGTGGGGTTGGCTCTTTTACCCTCAGACAGACCCAGAATGCTTCTACATTGATTTCTGGCCCCCAGCCTGGAATCTGAACTGAGCCACCAATTGCCAGGGGTGAGAGAAACTACCTCCTCTTTCTCTTTTTTTTTTTTTAATAATTTTTTTATTAAGGTTTTAAACAAACAAAAAAGAAAAACAACACACACAAAAAACAATACATAGCTTAACAATAAAAACACAAAACATAACAATTAAAAACAAACTCTCTTTTCCATTTCCAATTTTAAATTACTTATTTTCTGGACTTCCTCATACCTCCCTCTTTTGTATTCCAATCCACATTATTTGTCCAGCAGTTTCTTTTCCACTTTTTAATCCCAATCTTTAATTTAATAAAATGTTAAAATATATAACTTCAACTTTTTTAAACCTAATCCTTGATCTTAATGTCATATAGCTTTAAATTTTTCCCTTTTATTATCAAATTTCCATTTCTTAAAACATCTTTAATCTTGATCTTTAATCTTAATCTATCCTTAACTTTAACCTGTACAGCTGGAAACCACTTATTTTCAGTCCAACATCACTCTAACATTCCTTAATTTTGCAGTGTTTCTGAAGATAGTCTTTGAATTTCTTCCAGTCTTCCTCCATCGACTCTTCTCCCTGGTCACGGATTCTACCAGTCATTTCCGCCAATTCCATATAGTCCATAAGTTTCATCTGCCATTCCTCCAGCGTGGGAAGTTATTGTGTCTTCCAATACTTTGCGATGAGTATTCTTGCTGCTGTTGTTGCATACATAAAGAAAGTTCTATCCTTTTTTTAATACCATTTGGCCGACTATGCCCAGGAGAAAGGCCTCTGGTTTCTTAGGGAAGGTATACTTAAATACCTTTTTTAGTTCATTATATATCATTTCCCAGAAAGCCTTAATCTTTGGGCATCTTTACATTTCCAACATTTGTTATCGGGCAAGTGATAGATTTTCGCAAGCTTGACTGGGGTTATGTACCACCTGTATATCATTTTCATAATATTCTCTCTTAAGGCATTACATGCCGTAAATTTCATACCTGTGGTCCATAACTGTTCCCAGTCAGCAAACATAATGTTGTGTCCAACGTCCTGTGCCCATTTAATCATAGCCGATTTTACCGTTTCATCTTGAGTATTCCATTTCAGCAGCAAGTTATACATTCTTGACAAATTCTTGGTATTGGGTTCTAACAATTCTGTTTCTAATTTGGATCTTTCCACCTGGAAGCCAATTTTCCTGTCCAATTTAAATACCTCCATTATTTGATAATAATGAAGCCAGTCTCGCACTTTGTTTTTTAGTTTTTCAAAACTCTGCAATTTCAGTCTATCTCCGTCTTGTTCCAAAATTTCCCAATATTTCGGCCATTTGACCTCCATATTGACCTTTTTCAAGGCTTTCGCTTCCATTGGTGACAGCCTACCTCCTCTTTCTCAGCCACACACAACATGGTCCCATTTAAAGCAGTATGATAGAATCATTGAATTGGAAGGGAGCCTGAGGATCATCTAGTTGAAGCCCTTGCTATGCAGAAATATGCCGCTGTCCCACACGGGGATCAAACCAGCAACCTTGGCGTTTTCAGCACTGCACTCTAACCAACTGAGCTATCCAGGCTGACTATGATACCACTTTAAACAGCCATGGCTTCCCCCAAGAATCTGTAGTTGGTAAAGGGCACTCAGAATTCTTAGGAACCCTTTCCCCCTCACATAACTAATATTCTCAGAGTGGTTTTAACTGTCAATCTCTGGGAACTGCAACTCTGTGAAGGGCCTAAGGGTTTTCTAAAAATGCATAGCACCCTTAAAAAAGTACAGTTCCCAGGTCCTAGTCTAACACCCAAACCATGGCACCACAAATGAAGTTTGAGCATGCTCAGTGAACAGAGTGCTGACTTACTGTTGAGGAAGTGGCAATGGTAGAGTCAGGGAAAGAATGGAGTATCCTGGGAGAGGGAGTATTTGAACACTGATCAGGAACTCTCTTAAGCTGCAATATCTTGATCCAGTGGGCCCCACTTATACATTATATTTCAACAGTGGGCTCCTCTTATACATTATATTTCAACAGACACATCCCTCCCAAGCCCTACTTTTGTGCACTCGATTTACATTCTTTATTAGCAACTCCACAGTTACTGACAAAGCCCTTCCTTTTCATGCATTTTGCATCACCATTTCCTTTTTTCTTCCTGACAACAGGTATAAAAGGACTCTGCTGGCACCCACACCCATATATCTATAGACCTATATATCTATATATCTACATCTATCTATACAGTGGTACCTCGGTTTACAAACTTAATCCGTTCCGGAAGTCCGTTCTTAAACCAAAGCAGTTCTTAAATCGAGGCGCGCTTTCATTAACGAGGCCTCCCGCCACCGGTGCCCTTCCACTGTTCAGATTTCGTTCGTAGACCGAGGTAAAGTTCACAACCGGAATACTACTTCCGGTTTTGCGGTTCTTATACCGAATAGTTTGTAAACAGGGCTGTTCTTAAACCGAGGTACCACTGTATCTGTATCTGTATGACACAGGGTTTCTGTTTTCCTCTGTATTCTTTAAAAAAAAGACTTACATGAAATATGTTAAAAAATAAATCTCACACAGGGTGTCCCCACCCCCACCCCGCCTCCCTTCCTGAACACTCAGTGTCCCTGTGCATATGGGTTTTGGGTGGCCTATGGAAATTGATTTACGAGTCAACCACTTTTCTCTTTTCTTGCTATCTCTCGCTTGAGTGGTTTGTAGGCCTTGGCCCTTTCGTTCACTCAAGGAGAATAAGGTTGTCTATGGAAGAGGTCAGCGTTTCAAATTGGTAGAGTTCAACGGCACAAATGACGCAGAACTGACAAGAAAAGACAGACAGTTTGTGGCAGCCGTGTGTGTGTGTGTGTGTGTGTGTGTGTGTGTGTGTGTACCATTGCTGGTCATGGACTGCATAGGCCTTGCCTTGGGTTTTTTGTTTTTTTTTGCTTTGTAATGGGGACTTGGCACCAAAATGAATTAAATAACAGGCTTAAAGACTATTGAGGGAAGGCCTGAATGCAAATCAAAGATAAGTAGAAGTTTTCTTTCCTAAAAGAGGGATGATTTCCTCCCCGCTCCCTCCCCCCTCCCCTCCCATTCCATATCTTCGCAGGCAGGGTCTGCATGTTAAACATGATTTAGAAGGCATTATTCCGGGATCCTTTTCATCAGGTTTCTGCAGCGATTGCCTATCTTGGCCTATGATTAATGATCTGCTGTGCAATTTGGAGCCTATAATGACTCAACAATCCACACACAAAACTATATAGTTGCATTCCTTTTGCAGATTTGCCAAGCTGTTACCAAGGGGCCCACAACCCAGACGGATTGTTGGAGAGATAGCAAAGCATTTCGGCAAATGCCATTCTGCCCTTATCTTGCCGTGGAGTGTGTTGGGCAGCAAGCTCATTTACAAAATTCAAAGCCCAGATTTCAGTGGCTTCTTTTCTTTTACTTTTCCACTCTTCCTCCCCCCTCATCTCACCCCCTGCTACCCTGTCCAAAAAAAGGGAGGGGGACACCGCCTGCCCGCCCCACACAAACCCAACAAAATCAGGACTTGAAATAATTGTTTAAAAAGGCTGGTTAGAAAAGAGCCCAGCGTATGGCCCCTTAGTGATTATGCCGACAAAATACTTCCTTTGTTTCCAAATTTCAAATCTGATTAATTGAGGCCTAATGCTTTTAATGCCATTTGAAAGAGAAAAGTTAATCTTGCGAAGCCCAGGGCATAAACATAATCTGAAAATCTCAACAGATTTCAAAACATACAGGCCTTATTATAATTTCACTTGTAATTCTTGAGTAGATGGTAACAATTTCATTAAAACACTCATTTAAATATATATCTGCAGGGAGTCAAAATGCTTACACAATTTGCTGCTTTTAAAATAAAGAAAAGGAACTCTGAGAGAGGATTGTGCAATATAGCTACCATTGTGTGTGTGTGTTAGATGAAAATATTTTGAAAATATTTGAAGATCATATCTGGGAAAAAAGGATCCTGTGTAGCCAAAAATGGAGAGGGAAAGTGGAGGCAGTGTTAAAGATTCCTTCTTCTGGTTTTCCCTACCCTGAAGTGTACACACACACACACACACACACACACTCTATCAATGTTTAAAAAGTTTAAAATTTTAAAATATAATAAATCCATAAAGGAATGCCTATCTCATCTTAGTATTTATGGAAGACATTTAGAGAGGCTTCTAACATTAAGCATTAGTATTATTGTGCATGCTCACTGCTTTGAATGCATAAATATATTAATGTATCAGTCTATAGGAGAGCACTTATGAATGCTTAGATGTTGTGCAACTGTGAAAAATGTGAAGAATTTGCTCCTGTGTTTTGTCTCACTGTAAGATCCACCTGGTTTTGAGACTTGGGGTGAGCAAATCCTGGTGGGGAACGTAAGATGGACAATTGGTCCGTCCAGCTCAGTATTCAGCACCACCATTACTCCACGGTTTCAGACTAGAGTCTTTTCTATCCTGGACATATCAAGATGCTCTATGGCTGAACACAGGGGGCATTTGCAGACCATCAATATTTTCAGCTAGGACTTAATCACACACAATTCAGGCTGTGCAACTGTAATGGATTAGGAGGTTTTTGCACAAGACCCCCCCCCAAAAAAAAACCTCCTGGCTTTGTGAAACAAGGAAAGTGAGGTGAGAATAGCTGGAAAGTGTGGGATAACACTTTGGTGCCTTATCCTCTAACTTCCCTGCAAAAGAAAAAATAAGACCAAATGCTCAATAAATAGCTGACTTCATTTCATCTCCCCACAAACCAATCGGGATGAATGCTCATCTGGAAGCAACCAGGGAAGCTTTCATAGAAGCCACAGCAGATAGAAGGGAGCAATGCTGAGTTTGCCTGACAAAAAACACAAGGACCTAAGAACTGGGAGCATGGAGCTGTCCAGCCACAGCCGCTGAGCCATCCATTGACTAAACCAGACTCCTGAGGAACAGGTTTCTATCAAGCTGGGTAGCACAGATGCTGCTGAATTCACAACTGAGGGGACTCCTCCAACTCAAAATGTTGCACATCATCTTTAGCCAGGCCAAGACCTCTCAGAATTTGGGCCTGGCTTGAAATGGGGTTTGCTCCTTTCCCTGAAGCCAGTCTACCCTTCCTGCATGGATGTAACAAAGATTGTGCATGGGGAGGCTTCCCTGAAATCTGTAAGCCTCGACAATGAAGGCTGCAGATTCCAGGGAACTTTCAGATGCATGTGTCTATGTGCAAAGGCCTCCTGACTTCAGATGTTCATGTTGTATGCATGAGTGTCTGGGGAGGCACATCCCATGTCAGAGCCAGGCTGCTCAGCACCATCTGTTGAACAACACAGGAGTGAATAATGTCTGAACTGGGCTAATGTCGACTATGGTAGGCAACCAGCGTCAATGGATTTCACTTTGTCTTATATACTTCAAATGGCACAGTGTCACTTGCTGTTATTTAAGGAGGTTACTGCCAAGTGTGGTGAGTTTTATGCTGGCTGCAGAGGTAGTAGTTCCTGGACCAGTAGCAGCAGCAGAGGGGGTCCTCAGAGAAGCAGCAGAAGGGGCAATTCCTGCAGTGGCTGAAAACCTAGTGCATTCTGGGACTGGTGCACAAAAAACCTGCAACATTTCAAAGAAAAAGCAGGTGGCGGCATAGTTGGTGAAAATTTCTGCCTCCCCTCAAATGGTTTCCGGGGGGGGGCATCTGTGTGTGGAGGGGTTCAACATACACAAAAGTTCAGCTCAACTGTCTTATTTTTACAGCAAAGACATTGGCAGGGCATGCAGCCAGAAATACCTCATTCATCCAGCTTTCTTTTTTCCCACCACACTCTAAATTCCTATACTTAATGTGTCGCATGTACAAGGCTATCTATTGACTCTCCATCCAATAACATGACTCTAACAGGTACACACTAATGGAAATCAAACAATTTGAATCAATAAAGAAGCCTCTTTCCTTTAAGGAAACCCCCCCCCAATACATATTGAGAACACAATATAGGCTCAGCAAAGAGTTCTATCCCCACACCATTATTGCAACCCACCCTGATCCTCCTGGGCTCCCAGACTTAAGAGATGGGCGCTAGAGAGAAAAAGGGAAACAGGGGCAAAGCTTTTGCTGCAATTGTTTGGGCTACAGATCCTAGGTAAATGACAAGGATTTTTTTCCCCCTTTTAGAAAAAGAACACTCCCAACACACATATTTCAACTAAGCGAAAGCCCAGCGGCTAATGCCCCCTCCCTTTTGTGTGCCTGTTTGAAGCGTATTCTCCTGAGTTGACAAGCACGTGTTTTGGAAACCATTGAAAAGTTTGGGTCATAAATAGAGGAGACCGTTTGGCTTAAATGTTGCTAGGGAATACCTGGCAACAAGCAACAATAGTTCTTTTAGAAGGTCCAGGGCAAACAGTGACCGTGGTAATGGGGTGGGCTTAAGGGAGGCTGCTTGCCCAAAGCCCCTCCACTCACACAGAGCCTTCAGCATTGGTCTGTGTTCCGGAAATTCCACACACAAAGCCCCCCATTCAAGGGGAGGTGGGACAATGCATGTGCTTTTTAGAGAGGGG